ATATATATATATAATATATATATATATATATATATATATATATATATATATANATTTTTTCACATATTTATAGGTTGTATCAAAACTGAATCAAGAAAAGGGAGCATCAGCTGTTGATGTTTTAAAGAAACTTGGTTTTGGTGGAGTATGGAAAGGTCTTGGTCCTCGAATTGTTATGATTGGTACATTAACAGCAGCACAATGGTTTATTTATGATGCAGTAAAAGTATGGCTTCGTATGCCTCGCCCACCCCCTCCAGAAATGCCAGAATCTCTCAAGAAGAAATATGGACTAGCTTAATTATCAAGCATCAATATTTTTAATTGAATCAATTACAGTTAGAGAAAAAGAACATAGATAAATTACATTATTTCTTCAGTACATTGTCGAACAATGTTTTATTATACATGTCAAGTATTTATTTGTAATACTGATATCAGTGCAGGTCATCACTGCCTATAAATTAGATGTAATAATGTGCTACGAATCATAGTAATTTACTATCAGTGCTGAAATTATAAAAGAAATAGCACATTTATAAAAATCCGATATAGTGACAGTGAGTTACCTATTGTAACCAAAAACTGTTACTTTGTATATAGAGCGATCACCATAAATAAATGATTTGTGATTGCTCAATTAATATTTGATTTTAATTATCCCTTTTCTTATATATCCTTATGTTAAGAGAATTACACTAAAATATTATGCATTAATTACTTTTTATTAAAATCTTTCAAATATAATCTATATAATTATATACAAATCTTATCTAAAGATAAATAATCTATGAAAAAAAAAATATATATATACATTTTATATATGTATGTATACATATGTATATATGTATTATATACAATTTATGCTTAAAGCAATTATATACACACACAATATAAATGATATTAATAACATATTAACTATAGTTATGAAATAATGATCAAAAAAATGTATATTAATCTAAATATTTATTTTTATGTAAAAATATATTTTTTTATTTTATATGTTTATTCTTTGGCTTTATTAATTCAATAAATTTATATATATATATATATATATACATAAATTATT